GGGTCCTCATTTCACCCACCTCGGAAGGATGGAAGGCTGAGACAACCTTTGAGCCGGTGAGATTAGAACCGCTGAACTGCAGATAGCAGTCAGCTGAAGTGGCCTGCGGTACTGCACCCTAACCACTGCGCCACCTCGGCTCTTAACGTTGTCTTCAGACAACAACTTTGAAGCTTACGGCCAATTTAGCCCTCCCACATAACAGATTTTGAGAGCCAGATTGCAAGACTGGGGATTGGGGTGGGGGATGGGGAAGGGAGAACAGGGGGAAGGGGGGGGAAGGAACTATGCCCATGTTGCCCTGAGATATGCCAATGCCAAGTCAGCTCTGCATCTTGCCACACCCCTCATCTTTTTTTTTCATTTGCTCCCTGGTGGCCAGGTGTTTCTGTGCCTTGTGTGCTGTTGTCTCTTCCCCGTGTATTCCTGGGTTTTGTTACAGTACATTCCTGTTATATTGGACCGCGCGGATTTGTAGTTATTGCCTTGCCCGGTGAATGTGGTAGCCAACGTCACCTGCTGTTTCTACTGAAAGCAGCCCTTCTCAACTATCGGCCAATGTAGTCCTTTCTATTAGGAGGACGTTTGCAATATAGATGGAATGTACTGTAGTGTTTTTTCCTGGTGGTGGGGATTTTTTTTCGTATGTGTGTCTTTTCATTTTCTTACAACATATTTTTCCCACCCTTTTGTGTGTCTTTTTTTTCCCCTTTATTTCTTGTTCATGGCCCTTATCTGTCGCTAGCTCCCAACCCCTCCCCTCTCCCCTATAAATTGCCCTTCCCCTTCATCTTCCGCCTCCTCCTCCTCCTCTGCCATCAATGGACCTCCATCCCCCAAATTCACCCGTGACCCTCTGTCTTACTGTTTGAACGAGATCAATAAGACAGTCAAACCCCGCATCTCGTCCTTCCGCAGCCTCAAACGGGGGGTAAGTGGAAAAACTTTGTTTGCTCAAAAAATCACTGTCGTTTGTCTTCTGCTGCTGATGCTGCTGGCACCATCCCCAGGGGCTCCTGCCAGGTAGAAAATCAGTTGTGGTTTATGTGCTGATAAAGGTGAAAAAATCCATACACACTCTAGATCCTAACCCTCTGCTGTTTCCTTTGAAGCCGTAATTACTCAGTTCAGTGAATATGGGGGGAAAAAGACATCTCTAGCGGGGAAAATCCATCCAGTTTTTTCTTTCCATGAATTGGTAATAGTCCCTATTTTACAGTAAGCAAGACTTCTACTAATTTTGACTTTAATTATATAGATATCACTGCTGTGTTTTTATACTTTGTTTTATTTCTGTAACCTGCTTTGAGTACTTATGTAGACAAATTTATTTATTTTTGTCAGAAGCATCATTAAAGTTTTATGTGTAGATACAAGTACAAGAACATAAAATTTAAAATGTGTATAAAAGAAATATCTTAGCAGATGTAGGCAAAAAGATAGGGCATTAATTGACTGTGTTCCTGTAATTTTGTACACACAGCAATAGCAGTTAGACTTATATAGCGCTTCATAGGGCTTTCAGCCCTCTCTAAGCGGTTTACAGAGTCAGCATATCGCCCCCAACAAC